TGATTATGTAACCTGTATGGAAGTAGAAGAAGTTGTTGATATTGCAGCATTCTTTTGTACAATATTTGGCACTTTTTCTACAATCGTGGTTGCTTGGTATGAATGACATGGGGGCAACAATTACTTTAGATTTAATATTGTTGCCCCTACATCATCCTCACAATTTCCATAATTAGAATGAATACTTAGCATATTGGTCATAATCAAGGATTTGAAAGAGTTTTCGAATGTGTATGTATCTGGATTATTATTTCTTAATTGTGAGATCTTATTTTACCAAAAAAGTTTTTCAGGGGATCTTGGTTGAAATTACTTGTATAATAGAACGAAACTTTTTTAGAAAACAAGACATCTTTTAACCTTAAATGGCTTTCTAAGGTTGTCATCACATTATCCAATGTGGGAACATTTTTATTTTTTTTGTGTTCTGCTAGCATGATTAATATATATATATATTTTTTTTTTTCATAGTTTTAATTGCATCAGCCCAAAATACTGCATGAGGTGAATTAAGTTTCACAGGGCCCCTCGATTTCCGGGAGCTTGGCCTCCTCTTGATCCATTGCAACTATCAAACAGTTTGTCAAAGAATTCAACTGCATCCGCTGTGTTTCTTACAGTGCTGCTAACCAGGCTTCCATCTGTATGATGACCTACAAAAAAAAACAAAATTATTGTTAGGACTACTACTGCAATAAAAACTGTAGTGTTTTATTGTTGCTGCTTAACTGCAAAAAACATATACTATTACTTTTACACCTGAAACAGGCTTATTTTTGTCCAAAATTGTTCAATACTTGCTTTAATAGCTATATAATAGTTTTAAACTAGTCAATAATACATTTTTGTGTTATGATATGGCTTTGGAAAAAACCACATAGGGTTTTCAGTTGTACTCTTGAATGGAGTGTATACACGTATCACATATACAGTTATGTAGTCTATTTGTAGTAGTAGTAGGAAACTTTCTAGTTCAAAAGCTGCCTTAATACTGAACAAAGTCATTTTACTAAATAGATAACAAAGCATGTGATTCTAAAAATATGTAAATTTATCTTACCTCTTGTTGTAATATTTTCCATCGATGTTGAGGGCTTCAATTGGATCAACTGAGCCCAACCTTTAATTTGTTTCAAAAGGAGGTGCTACTTGTTTAAGTCATATTTGCTGTAATGTTTCATTTCGAGGGAATCTAAACAAAGTAACATCGTATTTCGTCTTCTGACACGATACACACCATGAAATAAACAGCATTTTTGAAATATTCTATACAACAAATGCACTTATATTAGTAATCACAGTTTTAAATACTGAGAGAATAAGCTACGGAAATTAATCAACGCAAAACTTAACTCGATCAACTTCATAACTGTAACAGACTATTTGACTTTAAAATTTGTGACATATACACATGACAGTTCTGTCATCGGCCCATACTAGCGGCCTCTGCTGGGGTTACGTTATGAATACCCAAGCTTCAAGAGCTAGAGTCAAAAGCCAATGTATGAAGTGTAACGCCGTGAAGCCGAATGACAAGATAAACAAAATGGCGATAGTTGCACGAGTGCGCACGGGTTGCCAATACAGAAAACTATCTAGGCTCTTTTGTTTTTAATATAAAAAAGAAAAATATTAACTTTTTATAAAATAAAGCAGCGGTTACTAATTAATAAATAATTATTATGAATAATTATGTATTTATTTAAATAAAAATCAATAATTTAGTCTTTAATTGGCACACCAATATTATGATTACATAAACATAAATCGCGATTGTTTATCGATTTTTGTGTTCATCACTACACTATTATATGTGGTATCATTATTTTACAAAATGACAGTAGCTAGTAGGAATCGAATTATTATACCTAGTATAGTGTCACATCACATCACATCAACAGCCTATACTAGACCACTGCTGGACATAGGCCTCTCCTTATAAAGGAGGTTTTGGCCTACTATATAGGTATAGTGTATTATGTGTAAAACCTAGTAAAAGTCAAACGAAAGTAGGGGGATCCCTACATATGTATATGTTTAATACATATATTATATGAATGCTAAACAAAAATCTAATGATCCTTTTTTTCATAAAGATAAATAAATAATAAATCAAACATAAATTAAAAGTAACTATTATCTTTAAGAAACTGCTAAAATGACTCCTATAATACTAATGATTATTATGGGGAATATATAACCAGAAGGGGGTACCTAATAAAATAATTATGTTATATTATTATGTAATTGTCAATAAATTTGAAGTATTTTAATCAGTAGGACATAGATTACTTTAGTTATTTATTTGAAACCCTTGACTGAACAATTTATACTTATTTTAATTATAACTTGATATCAGTCAAAAAGTGTAACTTACATTTTATTCTTTAGTAATGGTGTTAGTTTTTATCTGAGTCTCCAATAGTGCTATTTGTAATTGTAGCTTTTTAATTTTTGATTTTGATATTTTAACTTGATAGGAGTGCTGGGCTTCCAACATGTCAAGCTGCTTTTTTTTAAATTCTGTATTACTATTTATAATAGCTTGACGCCCTTCTTCATTTCTGTAAAATAAATTCTATATTATTATGTAATAATTTGACTTATTATTTTAGTGTGGTAAGCTTTATTTATATTCTCGTGGTTGATTGATCGAAATAAAATATATTAAGTATTACCACATTTATTTTAACAAACCTATTTAGGGAGGCGGTTCACCCTTTTTTCTTGTTTTTTGGTTTATTTTCTTCTATTTCTACACTACTTTTTGTTTGCACAGTTTCACTGGTGTAGATCACTGAAAATAATAAATAATATTAATGAAACTAACCTGTATTTTTTCTTATAATGAAATTATTATACCTTGTTTTTCTTCAATACTGGACTCTACATTTTCATCACTTATAATCACTACAATTGGTTCTATTGAGCTATGGCCAGCATCAGGGTCTTCAACTATTGTTGTTGTTGTATTTGTCATCTGTAACAGGTAAATGTTTAGTAAATTGTCATCATATTATACTCTCCACTATTGTTAACTTTTACTTACCACTGCATCACTGTCACAGTCACTCACGTCTACAACAAAGTCATGAGGAGCAATAGCCATGACTTCCAGGTCCTCTGGAGAAGGTGACAGGGGCTTGTTGCCACCTTTTGTTCTAGACTGCTCTCTCCTGTGAAAAGACAAGTTTGTCTTGGCTGCCAACTTCATTCTCTTGCAGGCCAGCTTTATCTCTTCTACAGAACGATTTTTGCCGGCGATTTCATTTAGACCGAAAAAAAATCATGTTAATTTAAATATCATGCTCACGATATCGTAATATAGCAAAAAATAATTAAGTATTTACTTATTTGTTACATTTTTCCATTCTCGTGTTTTTAACATATTTATGTTAGTTTTCGTCTACTTATCTTCAAGTATTTTAGCCGAATCGGCTATAAGTTGACGCAGTATATTCTAGAATGAAATTTGTATTGATGTGGCATAGGTACATAGTTTATTTCATCAAATACTGTGTGTACGTAATCTAGCATGTCAGTTACCTATCACTTATTATCACTAACCTTTTCTTCTGAACTCCAACTTTCACCCCTTTTTTCCTTTGCGTGTTCCATTTTCTTAAAAAATTTATGCACACATAATCTCACCACAAAGAATACTGTGCCCAAAGAACTGTGCCTTTAGGTACTTGTAGTAACTATAATCTTGAAGTGAAACCATTTTTCACACATTTTCCACAGGACATTTATTTAGTTTAAGTTGTAACATAAACATTTCGATTACATTACTCGAATTACGCGCGCCGTCCAGTTCACTCCGTTATACTTATACGTGCTAGTTCGATAGTTGTTCCAAAACATAACATAAATTGGAATATTACCTTTAAATAACAAAACTTTAAATTTTACCCCTACAAATAACAATTCATAAAATATTTTTCTTTATATTTCGTAACAACATTTTGTTAAAAAGGAAAGGCGCGTAGAACGCTGAACGAATGAATGAATAATTTAAATATTTCGTTGCTTATAATCTGTGGATAATGTTTAGACCAGAGACGATCTTTGGTACTAAGTACAGACCGTTCACCATAAGATGACCCCTGCCTTGGGAATTGGTAGCATTGCCAACAGTGTTGCCAACAATATATGTACCTTTTACCCCCCATTATCTTGTGTGTAATGTAAAATTATTGTTTTGGCTTCTGTTGATCTAATAAAGATATTTGTTTTTCTTCAATATCTTCAAAGTGCAGATATCGACCTGGTTTATTTTTGGAACGAAGTTCCTTATCGCGCGTTGTGAAAGGGGGCTAGACGGAAAAAAATCTCACGAAAAGTTGTAACGACACTTTTTATTTTGAATTGTCACTTGTCAGTCATTCAGCGCCATCTATCGAATAGATAGGAAATCATTATTTTTCATCTCAGTAAAATTAAAATTTATGTTAGGTTAAGCAAAAAAAATAGTATTAGACATCATTTCTCAAGGAGATTTTACCAATGTGTAAATTGTTTTAATTAGAAACCAACTGAAAAATATGTAGGTAATAGCCGCTTTCATAAATGGCGTTGTAATTAAAATCGTGTCGAATCAGTTTTACTCGATCGTCACAACTTTGTTCCTATCGGGTGTCCCACGACACCACACGCCTTTTTTTATTATATTTCTAGATAATATACATCTAAAAGACTAGGAAGGTTGTTAATGATGACACAATTTAAATTTTAATTTATTTATTGATTTCATTTTTCCTGACAGTAATTATGGTCGAAAGGAACGATTCCAGACATATCACTGTCACTTGCATAAACGTCGTCATCTGACGTATCCGAATCTGTGCTGCTGTCATTTCCTAATTCAATTATGAATTTATCCGTAATATTATCCATGCAGCCATCATGTTCATAAAATTTGTCTTCTAAATGTTTTACGTGTTCACACTGTTTTTGCCAATCCTGAGGGGTTATCGATAAAAAGGCTTCTTCAGTTAACTTCACGATATTACCAGCTTCATGGCCGACGTTATTGCTATCAATAATTGGTCAGCCTCATAAATCGCCGCTTCTTTGTGCTCTTTTATAATTTGATAAAGCTCTACTTTCAACATTGTTGGTAAATAAGCCAATCCCTTATTTGTAATCCATTCTTGCATTTGGAGTTTTGAGGAACTCATAGTAGGTGCTTTATTCACTTGTACTGTTGTACCTTCAACTATGAGTACGCTCTCAAAAGGTAACACTATGGTATCCATATCGTTGATGCGTATACGAATGTCATCGTTGTTTTTATATGATTTATGATAAGGAGTGTATGAGTGGTATTCAATACCCTTAATACTATCATCAAACAGTACACTTTCCTCGATGTTTAAAATGGATGATGATGGCATTTTATTGTTTCAATTGTAGCCCCAGTGATTGTAAAAATAAATAATTATCTTTTCTTAATCTTTTTTTGAGGTGTTTCGGCTGCTGTTGTTTTGGTTGATTATGTATGTCAATGTCGAATGATGGTTTAGATGTTGTCTCCAACGTGATGCTAGGAACACTATGACCTAATGTTGGTTGATTGTTGACTTTATAGACGATCATATCGATTTATTTTTTTCTTATATGAAGACGGAGTGATATGTTCTCTTTCCTCAAGTTGACAAGGTCCCTTTGTTCATTCACTAGACGTATATGGAGATTTTGAATCGTATTCACCTTCAAAGGCAAGTAAACCGGGTGTGATGGACACTCAATAATTTGATATCCGGGTGGCACTGATGGTGAGAATTCGTGAAGCACATGTGATGATTCGTTATTGATGAATGAACCTTGAATAATATTACACTCTACTTTTATAGAATTGCTGATTAGGATGTTTATCGCTTGATCTGATTCATGTAGTTGATTTTTTGGTAATACTTTTTGTGACAAACCAAAAACACTTCCAATACTGTTCTCTCGCTCGAAATGTATATCATAATATGGAGAGTGAAATGAGCATTTCATTGTATTCGTGTTGGCTTCTATATCGATTAATTTAAAGGGATCATCCTTGGCTTCTCGCAAAAGTTCACGCTCCAGATATTGAATGATATCGTCCAGGTCATAAGAGCCCTCAGGAATGGTGATGACGTTGTCTGCACCATAATGAAACAGATTATTACTCTCATCCACATTGGGTATCGAGTTGAATGTTTTCAAGTAAATTAGCGCGCATTCAAAGTCACCCTCACCCAATACTATGGGATGCAGAAAATTCACACTTAATGTAGACTCGGTTCCGTTAAGTGAGAGGGTAAGAGACATGGTCACTTGTCTATAAAAAGAGGTAAAATGATGAAACCTTTAAAATGTTGCATTTATATTTTATTAAACATGTGTTCACACGCATTTGACAAATGTAAACACAAATGTCCACAGTTGTACTTCACATTCTTTTGTACATTGTTATAGTTGTAAGTGATATTGTCAATGTTTACACCCCCTCTAGATAGATAATCGAGAAACTCTTGTGGTGGTCTCAAGTCTCCATAGCTAATCCCACCCACACGCCCACCACTGTAACTCCTGTACACCAGGATCCACAGCAGTGACCCACGAACACACCGAGTTATGACACTCGGGAAGTCCCAGGAAGAAATTAAACTGTCTTGGAACCCGCAACGAAATTAATCAGAAGAAAATTGGAGGAGTTGGAAATACAGTAAATCCACTTCCCTCCTTAGCAAAGCGGGAGACAAAATGAAGTAAAATGGGCATACACCCTTTTAAACAGGGAAGCACCACGGCCACAAATATTACGGGTCCTACGTGAGCTATGTTTGATTTCTATAATATGTATGGCAGAATCGCCTAAACGCACGGAAATTCACCCTAGTTGACACAAGATCCCCATAGTATACCGCCCCAGATGTCACCTGCAAGCTATTCAGCATTATATTACGTTCATTATACCAAAGACTACATTCCCAGAGGATATGATGAGCAGACTGTTCATAGTGAGAGTTAGGTGTTGAGCATTGACACAATGGTGACTCGACTAATTTAAATGAATAAAGCTTGCTCTTAAAGTTACCATGACCCGTAAGAAATTGAGCGACACAGTGATCCACCTCAAGCCATATCCTCGACAACCGTTCGCGAACAGATGGAAAGAATTGGTAAAGATGGCGCCCCTTGGATGATTCATCCCAGCGTTGTTGCCATTCGTCTATGAGGTCGTTATAGACATCGGGCTGCTGTTGAAGCAATCTTGTAATTTTACCGCGATCCCGCGCGCCCAAAAAATCGCATTCCATGTTTTGTTGTCTTGAATAGTACATGGCTGCACGTCTCTGCACCTCGAGATCGACCGGAAGCACACCCGCCAACACCGGCAAAGCCTCAGTGCTAACCGTCCTATATGCCTTACACAAGAATATCAGTGCAAGTCGTTGGCCTTGTAACAGTTTGCGACGGACAGCGCCTACGGTCGCCCTATCGGCCCATACAGGTGCACCATAGCACATAGAACCTAAATAAGTAGCTCCGTATATGATCTTTAATGTATTAAATGATAGACCCCATGTCGCAGTTGATATCCTTGTCAATGCACAGAAACTCTTTTTAGACTTTTCATTAACTATTTTAATATGTTCGATAAATGAAAAGTTTCTTTCTAAAACTAATCCTAGATAACACACTGTGGTTTTATTTTTTACAGTAACATTGTCAAATCTAATGCTCGGCGGTGATTTGAGGTTACCTTTTAAAAGTAGCTGGAAGGTTTTGTTGGGTGCAAAAGTTAAGCGATTACGTTCACCCCATTGAGATATCAAGTTCAAACATCTATTGGCTAATCTCTCAAGCCCCGCCCTAGTATCAGATTCCACCAGTAATAAGCCGTCATCAGCATACGCGTTCAGAGTACATCCGGATGGTATTGGTATCGCAAGAAAATCGTCGAAGCCGATATTCCACAAGTATGGACCTAGCACCGATCCCTGAGGACATCCCATTGTAAGTCTCCATAGCTGTCAAAGTATTCACAATGTTGGTCTTTCTTCACGTATGCTGCCCAATGTGTACCTGGTCCTTGTGCATTGTCTAAATTAATAATTCCCGTTTCAAACCTCCACGATTGTGATTTTCGTTGCTGTCGTTGTTTCAACGTAGTCAGCTCATCTCGCATTACCACACCCCGAAAACGTGGATGTTTAATTGTTTGACGTATGATGCGATTTCATAATCGAGGAGAGCACGATTCGGTAGGACAATGTTCAGTTTTTTTTGGTATGGTGTCATATAGAGACCCATACCCTTTTTGTAGGGTGCCATGTACATGCCTTTACCAATAGCTACCGAAACCGACCGCCGTCCGGGTTAGTAGTAGGCTCTTTTGATTTAACCATTTCATAGATGTTTTTAGCAGCGGTTGTCACTCCGCCAGCTAGAGATCCGTCGGCTGCCAACGCTCCTAGGATTGGTCTCAGTGGTATGAACCCACCTCTTTTAGGTAGAGGAATAACCCTGGGTTTTTTCAAATAATGTTTTCCGTTTTTATTCTCACTGATCCTTTTTTTGGCAGCTTTTATCGCCGTGTTTATCAGGTGTTTTTGTGTGGGTGGTTTTTTAACACCGGTGGTATTAATTTGATTTTTTACCGCTTTACGGGATGCTTTTATAACTTGTTTGAGGGGTAGCCCCATACCTTGTTTTATTTTGTATTTCATTATTTTATTAACTCCGAGTGCTACCAATCTCGGATCTCGGATAGGCTGTTCGATTCACGCCAACGCCTCGCTGCACTTGCTGCCAACTCCAAATCAGCCCTATGTCGAGGTTCTAACGATGCGTTTTTAGCGTATGCAATATCGTGTGATTTACACGCCTCATCTAAAGGATTGATGCCTACGTTACCTCTCTTCAAACGTTTTTCCAGATTTGTACCGGGTCCACAATAATTGTATCCGGGCACATGCAATTCAAACAGTAACTTGTTGATGAGTGTATTGACCAGTCCACTTCCACCTTTAACTACAGCGTCCGGATGACTGAGATAATTGTTTTATGGCATTATGATTTTAATATAATGAGAAAGAAAAGTTCAACCACACGTCTTGTTATTCTAGCCCAGATATTTAAAGCACATGTAAACTAGAATATTACCTTTCAACACAATGAAGTTTAAGAAGCAGAACACGCTCTTATCAGTGAAGGGGTCCGATATAAAATCGAAAGGTGATAACGATTGTTCAAATTATAAGCATAGTGAGCTGTTACCAGACAGTATCAGATGCCTAATATGCGGTCCATCCGGCTGCGGTAAAACCAATATACTACTAACCCTATTACTTGAACCAAAAGGTTTAATAAATGAAAATATCTACTTGTACTCCAAATCGTTGAACCAACCAAAGTATGTATTTTTAAGCGCAGTGTTTAGCCAAGTGCCTCTGGTCAATTTCTACGCATACTCCGATAAAAATGAGGTGACTCCACCGGAAGAGGCTCACAATAACAGCATTGTGATCTTTGACGATGTATCCATGGAAGACCAAGAGCCTATTCGCATGCATTTTTCCATGGGCAGACACAAGGGGTTGGATTGTTTTTACCTTTGTCAAACATACAGCAAAATAGCTCTATCCTAGCCATGTCTCTAATGTCTCTAATCTCTAATCTAATCTCTACCTATGTCTCTAAATAACAATAAAGTACCGGGAGTAGATGGTATCAGGACTATTGACATCCAAGAGCATAATTTCGGTATTGTGTAACTTAATAAACCTGTCTATAGAAACTGGTAAATATCTTTCCACGTTGAAAACGGGCATTATAAGGACTATACACAAAAAAGGCAGTCAAACTGACTATGATAATTACAGACCAATAACTATACTACCAACCATAGATAAAATATTTGAAAAATACAGTTACAATCAAGTCTATGACTTCTATGAAATTAATAATATACTGTCATCAAATCAATATGGCTTTCAGCCTCATAAAAATACAGCACAACTACTGTCAGCTTTCACAGATAGTATATACAACCACCTAGACAAAAAACATCACGTATTGGTCGTATTTATAGACTACAGCAAAGCATTTGACACGCTCAAGCATGACAGGTTAATAGAATGTCTCTCTGAGAGTGGTATTAGAGGCAACCTGCTAGAGTGGTGTAGGGACTACTTTTGTGATAGGAAGCTTATGATCAAAGTTGGTGACGCGCTTAGTGAAAAAATCACAGTGAAGGAAGGTACAGCTCAAGGCTCTGTTCTTGGACCCTTACATTACCTCACCTACGTAAATAATCTGGAAAGCCTGATAAAAAACTGCGAAATGTACCAGTTTGCAGACGACACTTGCCTAATCTCCGCGGGAACTAATATCATCGAAGCTCAAGATTGGCTACAAAGCGACTTCAACCTCCTTTTAAAATGGTCGCATGATGTTGGACTTGTATTCAATATTAAAAAGACCAAAGTGATGTATATTAGTTCCAGCAAAACAGAAGTATTTGGGCACCTAAAATTATAGCACACTGTCATGATTGTCTACATAAGACTAATTACGTTAAGACTATTCCTTGTAATTGTGACACCATAGAAAACGTTGAGAAACAAACCTATCTCGGACTAATTATCGACAACCGCTTAAATTGGAAACAACACATAAATCAAGTCTGCAATAAACTAAGAACTATTCTCGCCAAATTCTCATTAATCAAGCATAACATACCATACAAAACACTCCTCCTACTTTATAAATCTTTGGCAGACTCAATAATCTCGTATGGCCTTTCGAGCTACGGCAGGACTTACAAGAGCCACCTTGACCAAATATATGTACTTCAACTTAAAATTTTAAAAGAGATTGTACCACAAAACAATAAAAATAAATTTAAGCACGATTGCGAACGATATTTGATTTGATATTTGATACGATTATTTGATTTCTGCAAAATTATTCCTATACATCAGAAAGTAAAACTAACGTTACTAACCGAGGAGTACTTTAACGTAGATCTTCAAAAATACAAAGGCCGTGATACACATGGTATGAAGACCCGTAGCGTCGGTAATGCAAAATTATGACTACTACGTTTTACAAATCTGTGCGGGAAAATAACTCTAAAATACATATTACCACTCTTAGTAAATGAGCTTCCGAAATCCGTAAAGACTTCATTAACAAAAGTAAACATAAAAATAAAATTGAAACAACACTTTTTACAAAATTAAATCGACCATTTGTCATACCCTGGAACAACCTGTATAGTGTAGTAAAATATTATAAATGTATCCACGATATAATGTTGTTGAATTCATCACTGATGCGCGGTCGATGTGACCATTGCGCACTGCGTACACATTTTTGTATACTACCCTCACTTTATTATTGTTTTTATTTTTGTATTGGTGCTTTTATTTTTATTAAGTGTATTTGCATTTTGTGATTTTCTGTGACAATGTAAGTAACATATGACGAAATTGATGTACGGTAAAACTTGAAGGAGTTTATGTTGCATCTCTATATACATGATTTGTATTTGTATCAGCTAAACAAATAAATAAATAAAAACAATAAAATAAAGATTCTGAAACGTCAGGTCTGTTAATGAAGAATTACTTCCAGAACACAGATTATACAGACTGTTACCAGACTTATGCCAAAGACTTAAATTACAGATAACACAGTTCAATATAAGTCGGTTAAAATTAAAAAAAAACAAAAAAATACAAAATAAAAAAATGCAAATTTAGAACAAAATAAATACAATAAAATAATGAAGAATTGGAGCACCATTGAAAACACGGGTCACTCACCTGTAGACGACGCGACGGCAGCGATGCAAAAATGGCGCCAACATCAAAATGAGCCTAGCGACGCGGCGACGCGACGGTGGAGGCGCCGCGTCGAGCAGCCGAATATTACATTCGTATCACTAATCAGTTACTTCACTTGCGCTTTATTTAAAATCACCAAATCAATTTATTAAAATATGAATACCACTCGCAAAAGTTTTTATTCACTAGGTCAATTTTTACTTAAAATTTTATTTAATAAGAATAAACTTTATTGTACACCAGTTTAGTATATCATACACACTAGTAATCAAATTAATTTAAATTTTTAGTTTTTCAATGTGCCTACCGTTCACATCAATGCATCGAATACACCTTCGCATCATGTTGTCTCGTATTCTAGCACACAAGTTGTTATTTGCTGCCAAAGCTTCTAATTTATTAAATGCACTTATTATCCTCGATATATTATTTGATCTATTCTATTGAAGTGATGTCTGTTGCGTACACTGCATTTTTAACACATCCCCACAAAAAAGTCTAGGGCCCGTGAGATCTGGTGATCTAGGTGGCCATCGTGTAGGCCCATAGCGTCCTATCCACTGTTCACCAAACATGTGATTAAGACGCTCCCTGGCAGCCACCACTGAATGGGCAGGCGCTCCGTCTAGCTGGTACCACAAACGCCTGCTTTGAACTACAGACAGTTGATCTGTATAATCTGACACTGGGCCATCAAGCAATTCCAAAAACCTGATAGCAGTCAAATTTCCATTAATGAAAATTGGACCGATTATCTTATTGCCGTGAATTGCTGCCCATACATTCAACGAAAAACGGTACTGGTGGGAAGATTCGCGTACAGCATGAGGATTTTCCCTGGCCCAATATCGCAAGTTTTGGCGATTCCATGTACCATTACGTGTGAAGGTACTCTCGTCAGTCCACATGATGTTGGATAGAAATTCAGGGTCATTCGTTACCTTCGTACATAACCACTGACAGTAAGCCACTCTTATGGGTTGATCTCTGTTTAATAAAGCCGATACTTTTCGAAATCTGAAAGGCCGTCGTTTATTAGCCTTTAAAATAACGTGGACCTTTTTGTGGTGAACACTGAATTGACGAGCAGCCCTACGTAAACTGCATGTAGGGTTACGCGTAAAATGGTCTAATACACGTTCTTCAAGGGCGATCGGTGTTCGGGGAGCAAACTCAACATCACGTGGCACCAAACTTTAATTGTCTCGTAATCTTTGTACCGCCCTTACAAAAATTCGGCTGTCTGTAGGACATACACGAGTGGTTCCATATCTCTCACGATATGTCCGTAAAGCTAAAAAAGCGTTGTGATGGCATTCCCCGTAAATTAAGACCATGTCAGTATACTCCGGGGCTGTAAAGGTCACTCGCGGCATTATGAATGTTAATATTAATAATTCAATATAATTAAAACACTAGTAAGAAACCTAGTTTACACTACACACACACACACTCCACAACAAAACTAATATTGTTACTTTCAAAATAAAATTAGCGGGACTCGTTGCAATACAAACAGTCTTGCAACAACTGACCGCAGACCGACTGACGCTACTCTACTTTCTAGAACCCGGAAGTCATTAGATACATTTTCCAAATATGCTTGGCTTCATCCAATCAAGAGTAAATCAGCTGAGAATGTGGCACAAGCGATGCTCAAACTTTTAAACAACGACCTTGGGAGAAAACCAAAAAGACATTCAATCCGATAATGGACGCGAGTTTTATAATGAAAAATTCCAGAACATAATGAGAAAATTCAGTATTAACCATTATTCCACATACAATGTAATAAAGGCATCTATTATGGAGAGATTTATTAGAACCATCAAAAGTTGGCTATGGCAGCGGTTCTCATTCAATGGTTCCTACAAATGGGTTGGCAAGGAATTGTCTAACATAATGATTAAATATAATAATATAATACATCGTACTATCGGGGTTGCCCCAGTGACTGTGACTCATAAAAATGCTAACGCTCTCTTATCTAATGTTTATAACCATATCAAAGTTCGACCTCGAGCGAGGTATGCTTGTGGTGATTACGTCAGAATAAGTAAATATAAATCCATTTTTTCCAAAGGATACACGGGAAACTGGAGTACCGAGATATTCTGCGTGATTAAGGTCAATAATACCAACCCAGTGACTTATATGCTGCAAGGTGAAGGAAAACAACCAATCTTAGGTGGTTTTTATGAACATGAGTTACAAAAGGTTAAGTATCCCGATGTGTATTTAGTGGTAAAAGTGTTGAAAAGAAGTGGTGATAAAGTACTAGTCAAATGGCTTGGCTTGAATTCAACCAGTTGGATAAATAAAGACAACAAGATAAATAATTGAATAATGTTTTATTTCATAGACAAATTACACTAGTTTACAAAATTGAACTTTTTTTTTATACCCCAAAATAAATGTATATAAATATGTTAATCTACCTTCCTTAAATCTAAAAGTGTTAGCAAAAATATTTTATCACGTCACAATTTCTTCCTGCAGTCAAATGTTTATTTTTTAACCACCTAACGTGGTGACTACAGTTTATTGTTTATTTGTTCGCTTCAAACGACAATTATCTTGTTTCGGATTGATTTAAAATGTCGAGTAGAAAGTGTAAACAAAGTTCTGATCGTTTTTGTTATGTTTGTGGACAGTTTATATTTTCAAAAAAGAGAAGACCCATTGTGGATTCGTTAAAAAGTGCATATCTTCATTATTTTGGATTTCCCGTTGCAAATCAAGATAAAAAGTGGGTTCCTCATGTGTTTTGCGAAAGCTGTAGAATCGTCTTACTCCAGTGGTCATCAGGAGAAAACGTTCACCTTACATTTGGTTCACCAATGCTATGGAGAGAACCTAGTAATCATGAAAAACAAAAAGGAGTTTAAAAAACATCATTATGTAAGAAAAGAATGGCCTATTCGGAATGTGTATATTCCGGGCAAAATGAACATTAAACACGAGCTGTTGGTAGATCCCAATAACGTCACTCTACCCCCTTTACACATCAAATTGGGGCTCATGAAAAATTTTGTGAAGGCGCTTGACAAAAACAATGATGCTTTCCGGTTTTTACAAAAAATCTTTCCAAACATTACAGAAGGAAAACTGAAAGAGGGTATATTTGTTGGCCCACAAATCCGTAAAATTATGAAAGATTCTCAGTTTGAAAGCCTTTTATCTGTTAATGAAAAATCTGCTTGGAAGTCATTCAAAATGGTTGTGGTAAATTTTTTGGGAAGCAAAAAAAGTGAAAATTACAAAGAAATTGTTACCGATTTATTGGAAAATTTTCAAAAGATGGGAGTAAACATGTCATTAAAGATTCATTTTCTGCACTCGCATCTAAGTTTTTTCCCTGAAAACTTAGGAAGTATGAGTGACGAACAAGGGGAACGTTTTCACCAAGATTTAAAGGTTTTTGAAGAACGACATCAAGGATTTTGGGATGAAAACATGTTAGGAGATTACTGTTGGTCCATTATAAGAGAAACTGATTCAAATAGCTATAAAAAGAAGGCAAAAATTAGTCATTTTTAATTTTTTTTTAGTTTTAATACCAAAATTATGTATTTCAGTTAAGTTAATAAATATTTCTTAAACCAGACGTGACCGAATTTTTTTATTATTTTTTCGAGATAATTCTACCTAAATGAATAACAAAATAACAATTTTCAGCTGGGGTATGAAAACCGTGTAAACTAGTGTTATTAACCTCCAACCTATTAATTTTAAAACGAATAATATTTTACATTGTAGGTTATATTTAATACACATATCAAATTCGCAGTTTTACGTTTCATATACATTTAAAAAAGAACAGTTACTTCGCTGGTTTATACATTATTATTATTTTTACAAATACTTAGGTACCACCATGCAAACACTTGAACCTCCACACCACTACAATGACTGGTCTGCAATTGAGTATGTCTATTACAATTTTTAAAACCCAATTTATACTTTGCTATTAGTTTTTCCACTTTTGGACAGCCATAATCCTCCAAATTAACACATTTAAAGCCTAACCTAGTTAGCAATGTTTTTCAATACACCCTCCTTTGTATGCCCACAAGTATTCACAATGAGGATCAAGCGTTCTGAGAAACATTAAAAAGTTTTCGTATGATATATCACTCGCATGATTACATAGCGGCATGCCATGTACATGTTGAATGCAATAACGAATCTCTGAGGTTACAGGCCTAAGCAGTAACCATGTAGGTAACTTTACATGTAACACTCGTACCTGTTGTGTACTTAAATCGAAAATTCTAGCTTCTTTACAAAAAATACCCAATTTTTTAACCATATACCCATCTAAATCTATAATATATTTTACTGTTGACATTTTCATATACTATCTAGTCCACCAATTGCACCAACGGCCAACAATAAAATGATTAGCACTATATTTCCAACACTTTCAGAGAATACTGTATGGAAGCAGTCTGATGGCAAAAATGATATAATTTCAAGCCACTCTTCACACTCAACGTTCCCACTGGTATTATTGATTGCATCACAGATATTATCCCAAACTCGAAGCGCAGCGTAAATTTCGTCATCCAGACAGTCACTATTAGCATAAATACGACAAAGAAGAATATTAACATATTCGCATATTTGAGATAGGGGCACTGCTCGCTTCCAAAAACGTAAACACCTGTCGCTGCTGAAAAAGTGCACCCAATCCCTTTTAAAGCCATCGTATATGGTAGCAAGCATAGCGTCGTACATGGTTATTTTAAAATTATCTTGAAAAACTGCAATAAAAATTATATTCTTATTATACTAATAACCCATCTGTAAAGATGATTTTCCATGTTTTACCATTTGGACCCTTATTTATCATATACACTCCGGTCTGAAGGTGTTTAAACATATCATCACTGAGATCATTAAATCTCGACGGTAGGGTAATTATATACCCATTCTCTAATTGAACAGCCGTTTGCATCGTATTCACATAATACTTCGAAGGCACTCGAATCGCCTCAATAATTTTATGGGGTTTATCTATTTCAAGATCCCCCATCTTCATCCACGTATCCATCATATTGGTTTAGTTTGGAAATAGCTTGCTTCGAAGACATATTTATAAAATATTATTCACTTACAATTTCTTCGTTGGTAGACAGAGGTTACCCTGTTATATATTTTATTAAATTCACGATATATTTATTTCAGTTAGCACGGTAGTGGACTCTTAATGTATTATGGTAAAAGCCATTCCTGAGGCATATTTATATGAACCCATATCTATACATTTTCATAGGACTTAACCATAATAATAGATACAAAAGTAGGAAAAACTGATATCAACAATGTATTTTAACCACAATAAAATTTAATATAAAAATTATAATGATGATTCCTTAGTATATTGGTTCCTTAGTAGGTATACTCGCTTCACATTCTACATCTGACATCTCATTCCCCCCTAATTTATCTAATTGGTGATGAGCCCAATGCAGAACACTCTCAATCACTCTTCTATATGCCATACACTTTTCGCTTAAAGGTTTATCTGTGACCAGGATAGGAAGTGGACTATTCTCAGTTATTTCTTTCTCCCCCCACAATTCAGTGGTGGTTCCTTCACTTCCTTCGTTAGGTTTGAGAGTTGTAATCTTACCACCTCTAGGTACTTTTACACTTATCTCCAAACCTCTCTCATCCCTATAGGCTTGCTCATACAAATTGGATGACCACTTTTGCTGTAAGGTACTCCCCTCCCAACCACTTCGCTTGCTACGGTGATGGTGTGGGAATCTTGTAATTTCCAATTTATACAGTAACAGTGTTATATGTATAACACAATGTTATATTTATTTCAGGTGCTTTATCCACATTAAAAATACTTCTTAAAATCGTAGAGTGGCTACTCAAATCGTCTTCATCGCGAAAATAAAATTCAATTAGAAATCTCTTCAAACGCACACCGTTACTATCCAAGAGCTCTACCTGTTTTACGAGGGAGCGTTTTTATGTTCGCGGAATGGGGGATAAGGGGTGGAAATAAAAAATCTAAATTATTTTTCCTTTTCAATATATTCACCTGCAAGACGGATACATTTTTCAGATCTTTCAATTAATTTGTTTATACCCTCATAAAAAAATGTTTTCTCTTTGTCTTCAAAATACGCCGAAACTCCCTCCTTGACTTCATCATCGTTGGTAAATTTTTTACCCCGCAGCTCTTTTTTAATTTTTGGAAACAGGTAATAATCACAGGGGGCCAGGTCTGGGCTGTAGGGTGGGTGATTCAAAATATCGAAGCCCACCTTATGCAGGGCAGCCAACGCAACGCGGCTCTTGTGGACGGGCGCGTTGTCGTGCAAAAGCAACACACCTTTTGTCAATTTTCCCCGTCTTTTCTCTTTAATGGCTTCTTTGAGTCGCTCTAATATTGAAGCGTAGTATTCTCCGGTTATAGAAACACCTTTATCTTTATAATCGATCAATAATATTCCTGCTGAGTCCTAAAAGAACGTTGCCATGAGTTACCCAGCTGACTGTGGTACCTTAAACTTCTTGGGAGGTGCTGTGCTCTTTTTATGGCACTGCATGGAGTCTTGTTTCGACTCAGGTTCATAATGATGAACCCAAGTTTCGTCTCCAGTAACAATTCTACTCAATACAGCATCCTTGTCTTCATTACTAAGGTCTAAAAATGCACGTGAACACTCTACGCGCTGTTGTTTTTGCGCCGGCGTGAGCATTCTCGGCACCCATCTTGCACTGACCTTTGTCATGCCAAAATGATCGTGCAGAATTCTAAAAATGGCTGTATCAGATACTCCAACCATTTCTGCGAGTTGTTTCTTCTTTAGTCGAGCATCGTCGAGTACAATTTTATCGACTTTTTGGATAAGTTCTGGCGTGATCACCTCGATGCTCCTGCCCGGCCTCGGGTCGTCTTCAAGGGATTCCCTTCCTTGTTTAAATAAACTGTGCCATGGTTTTTCCTGGACAAGAGTCGCCGTAAACCAATGACATCTCATTCATTATGGTCGCAACTGATTTTCCTTGCTTGGTAAAGAACTTTATAACGGCACGATATTCGATTTTTTCCATGTTTCACTTTTCACTCCCGATTATGTTGCTTGGTTGACGATAACTCAAAGACTAATTGTCTAATAACAATGAAACCTGGTATTTATACTAATTATGAGTCACTGAACACGTGACGATTCTAATGAGCCTAATCACCCCCATCCAACCCTCTCATTCCGCGAACTTAAAAACGCACCCTCGTATATTCCACTGACCATCATAAGTGCATAAATCCATCAAATCTTCACTTAATGTTCTTGAAATTATTCTTGTCTCCATTTCGCTACTGTTATCACGCTGCATGTGAAGCACCACCACCCACGGTAATATAGTTGCGAACAACATTGTTACACCGAATACCACTCTTGTGATTCTCTCTTTCGATTTAAAAACACATCACAATATATAAGAATAGTTTCTCTAAAATGGTGTGACCATATAATCATGGACATCCATAATATGATAGATTTTGTTTACACAACAAAGATCATACACTAAGAGCGTATACCACATGAGTAACTCAAGTCCTGATTTTTATGCAACAATTTAAGCATACAGCAGTTACAAACTCCATGCGTTTCCTGCAAAATACTTCCATTATCTAATCAATAATTGCACTCTTACAACATCCTCCATTGTATCAGTAATATACCAATGCATTATAATATTATATTAATTTATAAATCACACAACAATCTATAAATACCTACGCCTCCTACAAAAAAAACATTCTTATCACATTCACACACAGGTATTGCAACCTCAGTATCCGCCCAAGCAACATTGTTGTACTCAACCAACCAGTCAAACAATGAACATAAATTCATCTCGCAAGACATCATACAATGGCCTCACTCATTCGGATCTGTTTTAAAAACAATACATTACCACCTTATGTTTATGCATATGACTGCCGTTTTAGAGTTGAAACTTATACTTTCCCCGTGACTCAGTGCTCAGGCTGCTGGCAGTTTGGACATATTTTTAGGTTTTGTCCCACTAAAAAGAAATTATGCCCTAAATGCGGAGATAATCACGAAAATTGCGAGGAAAAGAATTTGAGATGTCTGAATTGTAAGGGAGCACACCTGGTATTAGATAAGAAATGTCCTTTTTATTTGAAAGAAAGACAGATAAGAGTAGTTATGAGTGAAAAACAAGTACCGTATCGAAAAGCGCTTCAAATTGTTATCGAGCAACGAAGGGCGATAAATGAGGGGTCTAGAATCATAAAAGATCAACAATCGAGCACACAGTTAATAAGAAATAATGAAACATATAGTAGTGTAGCTGCTGGCACGGGGGTATATATGGAACCAATTTCACTTCAATCAGATTCGATGGAAATTGAAAACGAGACATCTAATGAACCGACACATATATTGCAAGATAGAACTCGGGTCAAGAAGAAAAAGAGAAGTGAAGTCAACCAGGTCTTCTCGGAGCAGATAGAGGAGGAAAGATGTAATAAATCTCAAAGTGAAGACCATAGAAAGGGTAATAATATAAGGAATGAGGAATTAAGGTATAAGTTCGAATTTAAGAAATTAGTTTTAAAATTAAATTATATTTTAATATCGGAAGATAAAATGCAAGATAAAATTATATCATGTTTTAAAATAATTTGGGACGAGGTTAGTAAATTCTTAGTAAATGTGTTTTCTATGAGAGAGTATGTAGATAAATTTATTAGTTTTATAAATGGCTAATATAAAGATTAATATTTTGCAGTGGAACGCTCAAAGTATACGGCCTAAATTAATATCATTTGCTGAACTATTAAATCAGGAAAACATACATATAGCTATTTTAAGTGAGACATGGTTGAACAGTGAGACCCACCTGACTGTTAGAGGATATAATATATATAGGTGTGATAGAAGTGATTCGTATGGTGGGGTTTCAATAATGGTGCATAGGTCCATACAATCGTATTTAGTGCCCGTAACTTGTAATAACTCCGGAATAGAAATAATTTGCGTTAAATTAGTGAATTGCATGAATATAGAACAGTTAATAGGTATTTATTGCCCCTCTTCGGTACATACTCAACAGTCTGATTGGGATAGTATTTTTTCAACGTATTCTAAGTCTACTATTATTGCTGGGGATTTTAATGGTCACCACACTAATTGGTCGGTTAAAACCGATACAAGGGGTACTCATATAATGGATTCAGCCCTAGAAAATTCTTATATATATCTTAATAATGGGCTAGCCACACGAATCAAGTTAGTCAATGGTAATCTACAACAGACTTCACCGGATATAACTTTTGTCTCATCTAATATTGCGATTTATTTCGATTGGCAAGTGTTCAATGAGAACCTAGGCAGTGACCATATGGTCATTAAAATGTCAACCATTATTACAAATGGTTACTCTACAACGCAAAAAAGAAATTATGATAGAGCTAATTGGGTTGAATATCGAAAGTCATTGATGAATAAATTTAATTTTGGCTATAATAACGACTCACAAGAGATGTATAATGCTTTTTTAAAACAAATTAATGCCGCGGCTGATAAAGGGGAATGCCGAAATTAGGCCCAGAATGCCCAACAATTGTATTTTGCTGAAAAAACATAAATTAAATTTTCTTAATTTTCCTTGCTATTCAAGTCAGGATAAAAGCCAGAAATATTTTCGGCAAATTAAATAACACTAAAACAATTTTATCTTAATACACTGACATTTGCATTTTTCTGGGTTGCCAACATTTCGTAAAAAAATCAAATAGTATTTTGACAAAATATTCACATTGAGCTTTTTTACTTGTACTTAAATAAACTAACTTAAATAATACACACATTTGAGTATTTTAAAATTATATTGTATTATAATTATAAATTATACATTAACAATGAGCAGTTAAATACCGATCTATGGGTTGAGTCGATCGATAATACGATATTTTGTTTATTTAATGGCAACTATACTATTAATATTTTAAAACTCTAATCAAACTGACAGCTACCCAGTCAATTTATCATTACATGTTCTGTGATCATTACTTTGTTTGCCTTTGCATCATCGTGATTTGTGCGTGTTTCTCGATATTAATTAATATTAAATCGTTGATTCTGACCATGAATACTGACTCTGGCGATTCTTCTTTACCTGACAACCACGGCTTGCATATGGATTCCGCTCCTACTGATAACGACAACCCCCGCGATAACTTGGATTTGATGATAGTACCGACCGAAGACTTCGACATTCAACCTGGTTCTAGTTCTTCTCTGCAAAGAGCGTCTACTGCTAATATTACCAGTGGTTATATCCGCTGTGTAAATTGTAATATAAATATTTCAAGAATGCGAAGACACTCATTGGAAATTGCTGAAGTCCGATCCCTTATACAGAGATGGGTTGGACAGCTGCAGGTAAATAACTACCTACATACAAAAACCTGCAAATAGCTTTATACAACTTAACATAATCTAAACCCATATTTACTTTTATAGCAAGTTTCGAGTGATAGTTTGGTGTGTCATACATGTTGGACCAATGCATGGAATGAAATCAGGATGCCAACCAGTCAACGGTCGACTGAGCCTCTCGTTGGCCACATTCTTGTATGCATCAGCTGTGGAACTTCGCTTTTAAGGCAAAGGTCACATAGCCTTAACATTGATACACCACATTGTGAACAAATAAGGAATATTATTACCCATCAAATTGCACCACGAGAGGTAAGATAATATACATACAATATTATTGTTAGGAATATACTTTGTAAAGAGAGTATTAAGAGTGGTTACAATCAGACTTTAAATAAATAGCTGTAATGTGTCTTAGACTATGTGTGAGATAAAGTGTCTATCCAGGTAGTTGAACTATAACTATATTGTAATGTTCTAAGAATATAGAATAATAACATCTCACATATGGCTGGCTGGTTCCAAACTATGCAGAGCCTCTATGGTGGTAACCAGACTGCTGATAAACATACTTAAATATTATTTTAAACATACATAAATTATAAATTAAAATCTTCTCACTCGTTAACACTCAGCAGAGTGGTCATGGTCATCGGTCTGGCCGGTAACTCACCTCACTATCTGTTGCCACTCCTTGCATATTGATTCATTTCTACCACACTCTCTCATTCAAATAAAAGTACCTACATGGGATAGAATTCTTTGTCGAATCATGGTCTGAGGATTGTTGTTTTGCCATTTTAAGGGAAAAAAACATATCAGTTGCCTTTTTTCTTTGACAGTTGCCAAGATCAGCCCATCTTTGTCATAACTGTTGGCGAAGGACTGAAAGAGCAGCTGCTCGCTTTACTTCAGATGGGGAATCAGCAGTGTCAAGTCTCCCATCATTTAACATTGAATCTTCTCAAGTACAAGCTGAAGGAAGAAATACAACTCCATCTCATGGCTTGCAGTTGCCTAACTATATCAGAGCTCCTAGCACACAGCGACATTGTTTTTTTCCTGGATGTAATGCGTCTGACAGGCTTTTAGTACCATCCTCACTGAGAGTAAGTTTACTTTGTGACTACAATTATTATGTGCCTGCAGATTGCAGAATATGTTCAATGCACTTGAGAAGCAATTCATGGGATTTACTTCTGGATTCAATTTATGATCCTATCAGGACATTCAGTGCTGAACAAATGGAAGAACTTATTTCTTTGTTAAAAGATAACATGTTAATGCATTTAGATTTTGACAATATCTTAAGTATGCCAGATCATATTGTTCACTATTACTTGGGCTTTTCAAAAGAACAATTCCAGCAAATCCTTTCGGAAGTCCCGAGGTTATTAAATAGCCATAGGGGAGCTTATGCTCTGGCAGCATATTTATTGAAATTGCGGACAGGAGATAGTAATGAACGAATTTCATCATTATTGCAAATACCAAGGAGTACACTAGAAGGTCTAATGAAGATGGCTAGAGAATTATTGTATCAAGATTTTGTTCCCAGAAATCTGGGCTTGAATCACATAACTAGAGCAGAAATTGCTCAAAGGAATCTGCTGATTCCCAATGCTTTGTATGGGGGCCCAGAGAGAACACCAATTATAATAGCTGATGGTACATACATATATATAGAAAAAAGTTCTAATTACTTGTATCAAAAACAAACATATTCATTGCATAAATACCGTAATCTGGTTAAGCCATTTTTATTTGTATGCAGTGATGGTTATATCATTGACGTACTGGGCCCCTATCCTGCTACAACCACAGATGCAGACATTATGAAACAAGAGTTTGGAAGTGAAAGTAGTTCTTGCCGTCAATATTTTGAACCTGGGGATGTATTTATTCTCGACAGGGGTTTTAGAGACTCATTACCGCTCCTAAGGAGTTGTGGCTATAATGTCC